ATTTTTATATTGTTATTAATTTATAAGTTAATAATACTTAGGTTCAGTAATCAAGTAAAATTACTCCAGTATTTCACACCCTTGTTCATTCATTAGTGCAAAACAATTCCATATCTGGAACATACTGTAGCTTGTGACCAGTCAGAATCATAGAAAGGACATCAGTTGTTTTCACTTATGCCTATTAGTGTTTCTTATTTCAAGTTTTGGGTTCAAATGTCCCTTCAGAAATGTGGAGAACTTGGTCTTCAGTAAACTCACTTTCTCAATGGACTGAAACACCGTTCTGACTCCTAGTCTTCATTGTGTGAATCGGTCTCTCTGGGTCGTAATTGTTTTTGAACTGGATGAACTGCAGCAAAACAACTCAATACTGCATCGCACCGTTGACAAAATCAGACTATAAATTCTAAATGAAAACCATCTATACTTGGCTAAAATTTCATCCCATACGAATGAGGAAATAGGCCACTGTTGATGTTCATTTTAGCAAAACCTCGGCCTAGTTTTCTACACATACAGGAAAGATCATTGTAAAAATATTGCACTGCTGTTGCCGGCAATCCGCCTCAATGTAAACATTTTAGAAATTTCTCACAATTATTTCCCTTTAACTTAATTCTATCATTCTTTTCAAGTTGGGCAATAAGTATCAGTGGTTAGACATGATGAAAAGTCAGTCATTTCTAGTAACTGGAGAACGTTAGCCATGACCGGAGTAAGACCCGAAATGATACCTCACAAAACGGATGCCATGCAGCAAAACAATAAACTTTCTAATCTGAAGAGAAGATCTCAAAGAAAACCATTTGCTCAACTGCTCCTTCAACAGTCTTTAATCCCCCTCCTTCCCTTTTGGGCATATGGCCCGGGTCACTGAAAGTTGACTTAGGCTGCATTTACACTGCAAGTCTTTACAGAAGGTCCAAACACTCGCTGATGCTCCAGAAGGAAACAACGCATTAAGAGCCGGGGGTGTGAGAACTTTTTGAATTTGAAGATCAGGGCAAATTTAACATTTTGTCTTCTGGGAAACATGCAAGTATCTTCTGTATCAGGCGAATTAAGAAAAATGTACATCTCCATTCTGTTCAAAAGTTTTCACCCCCGGCCCTTAATACATGGTTTCTCCTTCTGGAGCATCAGAGAGCATCTGAACCGTCTGTAATAGCTGCATATGAGTCCCTCAGTTGTCCTCAGTGTGAAAAGATGAATCTCAAAATCATACAGTCATTGTTGGAAAGGGTTCAAATACACAAAAATGCTGTAAAACCAAAGAATTTGTGGGAGCCTAGCTAAAACAGCAGGCAGTTTAACTGTTCAGGACAAACAAGGGACTCAAACAACTATCACTAAACAAATAAACACAGCTGTGGATTATTCAGCTAACAACACAGTATTAAGAACCAAGGGGGTGTAAACTTTTGAATGGGGTCATTTTTATAAATTCAACTTATTTTCTCTTGTGGACTATATGTGAACATCTTATGTGAAATATCTTATTCTGGTCCGTACTAAAACAATAACATGAATTTTGTATGATCCCTCTTATTTCGGTAAAATAATTAACATTTTGCAGATTCTGCAAGCTGCATGTAAACTTTTGACTGTATAATAGGTTTTAGAATCGAAGCTATTGTATTTATAAAATTCACGGGGCAGGGGTGGAAAACCAGCTCCTGAATGTTTCCACATGTGGCAAAGTGGTCAGGTCGGGGAAGTAACCAATAACAACAGACAGATCCTATAGTCGAGCACGCACCCGAAATATACCGGAACACAACAGCCCTATGCAAGGGCACACAGGTTCATTACCAAAGGCAGGGTGAGCATGGAGACATGGACAAGGTATAAACATTAAGCAGTTTATTTATATACACAAAAATGAGACATTAAATTTAACATTTGTTTTTGTTCACAAGATCTTAAATCACAAACCAAATACACAACTCTACCAGTTACAGAAATAACCAGTAGGAGAGAAATGGCCAGCGGGGGCCTTTTGGATTTTCACCTCACACCATACCCACACCACACAGTGGTGAAAGCAATACAATTGGTTAAAGGTGGGGTATGTATTTTTTCAAAAACACTTTAGAAAACTGAGTCGGGCCGAGTACCAAAAACTTGTAGCCAATCAGCAGTAAGGGGCGTGTCTACTCATGATGTGGAGGAGAGAGAGTTCAGGGCACAGGACGGACATTAGCGAGCCGAGCGACAGAAAGATAGAGATGACTGATAAAAAGCAAAAGAGGAAAGCGTCTGCGGAACAAAAGGCTTACGATAAGGCAAGAAGTAGGACTCGTGTAAATATCGTATCAGCTTTCCAGTGCTGGAGAGAACTCAAGGAGCGGAAGGCCTGCGATCGGACGCCGAGGTTGCTTTGTTTCTTCTCGATAGGTGAGTAACACCGTGTCTGCACCAGACGCGTCCAGTGTAGACAGACTTTAGTTGTGAAAGCAATACAATTGGTTAAAGGTGGGATATGCATTTTTATTTTTTTAAATGACGATAAATCTGTCTCCACAGTGGACGCGATAAAAAAAATAATAATTTGAAATTTGTCAATACGTCATAAATAGAACACCGCAGCAGTTTTCTGTGGGGGATTTGTCGTGCCGCATCCAGTGTAGACAGCATCACTGATTATAGGGAGTTCTATAGCATCTTGTTGCGCTGCGCCACTCGCGTCCGGTGTAGACACGGTGTAACATTGGTTTTGCTTTGTTAAATTCACAACTAATTGTTGCCCGGGTTATGTACATGTGTGGGGCGGAGCTATCAAAATAGGGGCGAGGCCCTTTTAGGTTAGGGGCGTGTTTGTTTTGGTGATTTGAAATAACATTGGCTGCCAGAAATCACTTACCCCACCTTTAAGCACCGCACTATGTGGACACGCTAAAAGACTGCAACCCCCGCTTCAAAAGGTTCTACTCCTAAATGACAAAACGGTTAACTGGTACAAACTTCAAAACATTAAAAAATACAAAATTCTCACTTTCATACCACAACAGAACAATCTACTCCAAAAGGTGGACGCACCGACCCCTATCCCTTGTTCATAATGACGTGCTTCCACAAGGGTCCAGTACCAAGGATGCATCCTGAGCAATCAAACCCTTCCCTTTTTATATTCTCAATGCCAGCACTGATTGGTTAATATGGTTTAAGTCCTATCAACCAATCACAAAGGAGCAGGAACTCTGATAGGCTCACAGGCTGGCATGACATCAGCCAATCATACCTGGGCTATTCCTTCCCCAGCTACACACATACATTTCCCGCCTCAATTACATGCAAGTGCATATAAAGCACACTGGCATTAAAATGCTGTCTTTATGGGCAAACGTCTCCCTCTTGCATTGTGGTGGCTTGGAGTTCTGAGGGGAATAAGACATGGGTGTTTAGACATCGGTCGGTCCGGTACTTGTTAATTACTCATAAAGCCCTGAATGGTTTAGCTCCTCAATACCGGAGCAAGCTCATATCACATTATAGACGTCCGCTGCAATCTCAAAACTCTGGCCATCTGATAATACCTAGAATACCTAGTGGCAGATCCTTTTTATATCTAGCTCCCAAACCCAGGAACAATCTACCAAACACTGTTCGGGAGGCAGACACACTCTAGATTAAAAACCTCCATCACACCCATGCTGGGTGAATCCACACTGAGGGGGAACCATACAGATCACCTGAGAAAAACATCTCATCATGGGACAATCCATAAACTCTTTTAGGAAGGACGTGAAGAGAACAGCTCACTCAAACATGAAAATGATGTTATTGTACATATTCAGTAGAAACTGATGCTCTCAAAAATAATAACACAACGATTGCATAACGTCATGAAAAAAAAAAGTGCACTGTCCAGACACTGTCTGCTTGTAATGTGAGGGATAAAAGCAGCATGAACATTTGACTAAACATCTCATGTTCCACAGAATAATGTCTTAAAATTATGTGAGTCAATAAATGAGCATTTCAACTTTTAGTTCAATTAATCTTTGTGTGTGTACTGGTATTCCCTACGTTATGAGGACCAAATGTGAGGACATTTTTAGGTCTCCATGAGGAAACAAGCGTTTCTAAAAATGCCTATACTTTAGTGTGAGGTGTAGGTTTAGGTGTTGGGTTAGGGTAAGGGGATAGAAAATACAGTTTGTACATTAGAAAAACTATTACGCCTATGAAATGAACCCATAATGATAGGAATACCTGTGTGTGCGTGCGCGTGTCTGAATACACCAGTGAAGAGACACACACACACAGGAGTCTGTGTGTATTCAGGTTTAAGTCCCCCACCAGGATATATAAACCTGTACACACACTCAGAGAAGTGTGTTCACTGTGTTCGAGGCGCCCTCCTGTGGTCCATCAAGGGAGAGCCTCAGAAAAAAAGACATTAGACTAAATACCACTATGTTCACACATAGAAACAACATGATCACCACATCTGTGTATGCAGTGTTGTGGGTAATACATTACTAGTAATGTAAGTTACACAACCAGATTACTTTTCAAGTAACTAGTAAAGTAACGCATTACTTTTAAATGTACAAGAAAATATCAGTTACTTTTTCAAATAAGTAGCTCCAGTTACTTTGTTTCCATGTATTGAGTGACAGCTCTGGTGTTGCCATGGTGACAGAAATCAGGAGTAAGTGCAGAGCGTTGTGTTTGAACATGATCTTACTGTAACTGTAGTTCTAGACTAAATATGAACATGTGTTTACTCATCTCGCTGCACACAAACACAGTAGTCCTCTACATTAAAAACAGTGAAACGCAAACTCATTATACAAACCTGCAATAATTAAATGTTAAATAACACAAATATACTCTGTATTTAATACCATTTTATTAACCAGTGTCTTTGCTGCTGACCTTCGATGAACCAAATCAACCATAATAATAAAAAAATACCCCTCCTCTCTCCCCGTCCACCCAAACTCCTTTCTCTCGTTATTGTCCTTCTCTCTTCTCCCTCCTCATCCGTCTCTCCTCTCTCTCTCTCATCGAGCAGCACTCTCTGCTGATGAAGAACAAACAGTCTGTTAAAACACTTGCTGCAAATCATACATTTGAGGAGGAATAACACAGAACTCAGGGTTGTTTTGTTTTCCACATGCAATGCCCACTTCTCACAATCCAATCAAGACCCAACGGATAAAAACCAAGCATTTCTTTCCATGTTCAAAAACTAATTTCACTCAGAAATATATCACAGCATGGGAGTAAACTCGGCTGCAACTAACATTTCATACTAGCTCTAGATTTTAACCTGTAGTCATTATTCCTACAATTTGTGCTGATTTTCTCACAACCTTAAAAAGTTGGCATGTGGTTAAACACTACAATCCATTGAAAACTGTACTCCTGTCCTTCACAGCCTTGTTTTCACTCTTGTCAAAAATAAATAAAGACACTACCCTGACTAAAGTCTATTAAATTAATCTGAACGGTCGCGTGAGCATTACCTGTCCGACAACTCTTATCGGAGCAAGATGCACAAACACTTTACTTATTTATCAGTCAACTCATTTGTAAAGAATGTTTCAAAACACAGTTTCAAAGCAGCTTTACAGAGTTTCGTGATTTCAATGTCTAGTTAACCACTTTTAGCAGTTTAGAGCTGGTACAGTTTACATTATGACAACATAACCAAGCGGTTGAGATTTCCTATATAACGTAGGGCTGATATTCTGTGATATATTAAACTTCAATTGTACCATTTCAACCACCAGGAATACTTTCAGACTACCATCCTCTACACGTGGCATTCATTTAGTGGACAAGCTCGCAACAACAGTCGATTTCTGAAAGTTTGAGGAAATAGAGAGCAAACTTTTCTTGTCCCCGATCACAATCAATTGGTTTAAATTCCTCTTTTACATACCGAGTAGCTCTTTATCAGGACTGTTTGTTTCATAGTTCATGCATTTCAATTACATAGTTGAAAATTCATCCGAGATAATAAACAATACGGGTTTCAGGCTTGCAGCTTAAAAAAAAAAAAAAAACCTAATCGTGTAGTTGGAGGGAGAAGGGACCAGCAGTGCTGGTATGCAGAAGGCTATCCTGGCGGCCAGCATACAGAGACTTCAGAGGCTGCTGAAGAGCGTTAGGACACTGGAGGCACCACAGCCAGAGACTCGACAGAGCAAGAATCCTGCACGACTCGGGGAAGAGTAAATCATCGATTTTGAATATAATTTTAAGTCTACCTTTATACACATTTTGATTTTATTAACTCAGATGTAACCCGATATTACCCACTGATCAGCGCACATAATGCACAAGAACCATGGAAAGCCAACTGTACTTGGTTGACATGAGAACAAGCACATCTGAGATCATCATATTTGATGTACATCATTGCAGCACTGACCAATATTTATATGATTGTTTCTCTTCAGAAGACTAGGATTAAACTGCTCTATTCATATACATTACTTTTACAATTATGATATTATCATTTTGAAGATTGCAAGCTATGGGGAAATGCCCTGTCAATGGAGGAACAAACCTCAATTACAAGAGCAACTCCCCTCCTCCACCTTTCTCCGCTCCAGAGCGTATGTCTCAGAGAGCATCACGGAGACGGCTGGTGTGTGGATCAACCTAACACAAGCTAAAAGAGCATAATCAGGGATAAAGGAAATCTGAAACACATTCACAGCATTTAAATAAATCTAAAACTGAAGAACTATTTTGTGTTCAATTCACAGAGCACACATTATCTGTCCTGAGATCCTCAGGGGACCACCAAGGAACCGCCCAGAGTAAGTTAAATGCACATAAATCCACTTAAGTAAATGTTAAAATTTGACAGCCCTCACAGATCCATTGTTGTTTCCTAATGACGGTTTACACTAGTACATTTATCACATTGCACATTTTCACACAGCCTAAAAGAGTTTCTTGACTCTCGTCAGGTCATAAGATTACTGATCTCATGTGTGACTTGATTTTTCCAATTATTTATTTTTCTTTATTATTTAAACCTGCAGTCCGTAACGTTTGGCGCTCTAGCGGTTAATAAACAGAGCTGCATGCGTCTTGCAGAAGAACATTGCAGCCGGAGATACTTCTCTGTTTATGTCTATGAGGAATCACGCAGGTACTGGGCTACTCCGCAGCGGGTCCTACCAGAACCAGTCTGAAATAGTCCGAATATACACACTTATTATAGGTGTACCGTAGTGATTCAGGACAAGCCAAAACAGGGTTTGCAAAATGGATTCATGATGTAATCTCTTATTCTATAAGTTTTGTACATTTTGGAAAAAAATAAAAATAAAAAAAAGTTACAGACTGCAGAGTATTTTTTGTTGTGAATATCCCAATAGGGGTAAATGTGCAAATTTCAGATAAATGTTCATGTTATACATTATTATATAAAAAAATGTAACCGCTTATGTAAAATAGGTGTATATATATATATATATATATATAATATCGATAAATCGATCAATATACTCCTGAATCATATCGTAATCGTATTGTAGAATTTTTTGAGGTATTGGCAGATATCGTATCGGTGGGTATGAAAATCGATATCAAATCGTATCGTGATGCGTAGCAGGCCTTCGTTTGTTAATTTGCAAATGTAACGAGCAAATCTTACCCTCTCCATCTTTCTCAGCTCTAGTCTCTCAGGCAGACCATCACGGAGACGGCTGGAGGCTCATCCACCTGACACAACGCACAAGAGCATTAATTAGAACAAGGAGGAGAAAACACTTCATTCACAGCCCTTCACACAATCTAAAACTGAATAACATAATATGCTGTGTTCAATCAGTAGAGCACACCTTCTCTGTCCTGACACCCTCAGGGGACCACCAAGGAAGAGCCCAGAGTAAGTTACCAAATATTTATTTATTTATTTATTTTTTTAAACGATGCTATGAAAACCATCACTAACTTACTTTAAGTTTTTACTTACAAACTCCAGTGTGAGCTCCTTTGAGCTCCAGTGTGTCTCTTTAAAATACGGGGGGGAGGGGGGGAAGCATTGAAACATTATATTGGCGAGATCATTTAAAATGGTAAACATTTTAACGTAAATAATGTGACAGGTTTTTGATAACACCCATCAAGGCAGATGCATGTGACACTACATCTAACATTTAAAACCTTACAGTGAATTTATACTTACAGGTACTTCTGGTGTGAGAGGAAAATCCAGTCTTGAGTTCCATACCAAATCTATGTACACACATGTTATTTATCGGTTTAAATAAGCTGCAAAATGCATCATTTCTGTTTTGCAGCTGTAGAAAGGGTAATTCTGGAAACACTAGAGAAGATCACCCATCTGACTTCATTGGTCCAGTCTCTAGTGTTGTACCCCAAACACAGAAGAGGGTGGTGTCTTTCCTCTAGCATCTACTGCAGACCGAGACAGACTGGAACAAAGAAGATCAGACCCAGGGTTTATGCAGAGAATGGTAAGAATCACTGAAATGGTCAAACCTACAACTACTAACAAGATGTAAACAACCTCTGTTTGTGTGCTAACACGTGTGCATGTTTACACGCTACCTGTCAAAAGCTTGGCATGATTAGGATCTTGAGATGTTTTTGAAAGTCTCTAATGCTCACCAAGCCTCCATTTATTTGCAAATATATAAAATTTATGAAAAATATAACAGAAACAGTAATACTGTGAAATATTACAATACTAAGCAGTTTTTTTAAATTTTTTAAATACTCATTACTTGTTAATTTTCATTTACAAAAAACAATAAAAAAAAAAAACTTGTTCTTTGGAATTACATACATTTTGAAAAGTGATAATTTGATAATAAAATAGGGCAATAACGAGGGTCCAAAAACCATGGCACATGACCAAGTAAACACCAATTAATAAATCATCTATTCATTTTTTATAAATTGTAATATTAGTAGAGGGATACTGGAATGCAGAAATACTACACAGAACTAAGTGTCATATTACTTGAGACAGAATATTAGAAAAAGTAAAATTCTTGTGCTGCAGGTGCTTCTGAGCTGTTTTTTTTTATTCATACCACAACTGTAAATAACAATCTCTATAGAAATCTTAAAATATATGTTCTATACAAAAGGCAAATGAACATGTATCTACATTTTAAACGTGATAACTTGCATGCCCAGTCATTTATTATGCTTGAGTTTGAGATTTGTGATTTCTGCAGGTTTACATTTTAAATGCAAGCTGTCATCACTGTTTTCATACGCTTGTGCCATTTTGTCAAACCGCAACTTTATCAATAAAATAGTGTTGCACAGGACATTTCTCAGTTGCTTAGTTTTCTCATTCTTTTACTCACTTTAATCTGCAATTGCTTCAGCATGAGAGTGTCTCCTCCATATTTCCATGTCGCCTGCAGTAAGACGTCAGTAAGTCAATGGCGTGGAACAGTAGAGTGATAAAAAGCATCGCGAGCTTCACAAAACAGCATAGGACACTGATAAAGGACGCCAGCAACAGAAAGGAGCAAACAATCATCTATATCAGACTTGGTTATCAGGCAACATCAAACACATTTACAGAACCAAAATGATGCATCACAGGAGAATATTTGTTCAATTTAATGCTAAGATATTACGTTATAATGTACCTGTTGAAGGTGAACAGATGATCCATCAGTGGCGGGTCAAACATGAATTAAACTGTATGGAGGATGTGAAACATTATATTGGCGAGATCATTTAAAATGGTAAACATTTTAACGTAAATAATGTGACAGGTTTTTGATAACACCCATCAAGGCAGATGCATGTGACACTACATCTAACATTTAAAACCTTACAGTGAATTTATACTTACAGGTACTTCTGGTGTGAGAGGAAAATCCAGTCTTGAGTTCCATACCAAATCTATGTACACACATGTTATTTATCGGTTTAAATAAGCTGCAAAATGCATCATTTCTGTTTTGCAGCTGTAGAAAGGGTAATTCTGGAAACACTAGAGAAGATCACCCATCTGACTTCATTGGTCCAGTCTCTAGTGTTGTACCCCAAACACAGAAGAGGGTGGTGTCTTTCCTCTAGTATCTACTGCAGACCGAGACAGACTGGAACAAAGAAGATCAGACCCAGGGTTTATGCAGAGAATGGTAAGAATCACTGAAATGGTCAAACCTACAACTACTAACAAGATGTAAACAACCTCTGTTTGTGTGCTAACACGTGTGCATGTTTACACGCTACCTGTCAAAAGCTTGGAATGATTGGGATCTTGAGCTGTTTTTGAAAGTCTCTAATGCTCACCAAGTCTCCATTTATTTGCAAATATGTAAACAACGCTTGCTAGCTAACAAACAGGTGACAGTCATCATGATCAACCTACACAACACATTTGGAAGTTATTATAAAACAGATCGCAGGCACGACACAATTAGTTTCAAATTATACACTGACCTTAACCAAATGTGACGTGACCCATACTAGGAACTAGTGCTCTGCATTTATCCCATCCAAAGTGCACACAGCAGTGAACACACACCCGGAGCAGTGGGCAGCCATTTATGCTGTGGCTCCCGGGGAGCAGTTGGGGGGTCGGTGCCTTGCTCAAGGGCACCTCAGTCGTGGTATTGAAGGTGGAAGAGAGCGATGTACATTCACTCCCCCCACCTACAATCCCTGCCGTACGAGACTCAAACCCGCAACCTTTGGGTTATGAGTCCGACTCTCTAACCATTAGGCCACGACTTCCCCTAGAAATGTTCCCTCGCGAACACTTAATGTGAACAAATAATGTAAGGGGGAAAGTTATGATAAAACGACGTCTGTCCTACATCAACCAGACATCTTGCAGACGTATGAACATCTGATTAACATCATTTAAAGAGCAGATCAAGGGCGTTCTAAATTGTTCACGTCTTAAAGGGGTCATATGATGCGATTTCAATTTTTCCTTTCTCTTTGGAGTGTTACAAGCTCTTGGTGCATGAAGATCTGTAAAGTTGCAAAGACTAAAGTCTCATGCGGTTTAAGTTTCCAAAAACACATTTTCCACATACTGTACATTATTGTTTCTCCTCTATGCCCCGCCTTTCTGAAACGCGTTGATTTTTACAAAGCTCATCGGTCTGAAAAGCGAGGTGTGCTGTGATTGGCCAGCTATCTAGTGCGTTGTGATTGGCCGAATACCTCAAGCGTGTGACAGAAATGTTACGCCCCTCACCATACTGTGATGATGCCGTGTCCGGCCGGAGCGACGAGACAAAAACATTAAAACCCATTATAAACGAGGCATTTGTTGCATCCAGTGGAGACATAATTACTGATTATAATGACTTATACTGTGTTTTTAAGCATTGCGTTGCATATCGCACCGCGTAAACAAAACCATGTTACGGCACGGTCGACGGATTCGACAAAGGAGCGTCTGGACAGCTTGCGGCAACCACATGTGACAACCCCGGGCTGGACTCCGCTTCATCCACAGTGAAAGCCGCTCCGGTGATGCACAGCGCAAAGTTGATGTATTCCCTCAGCGACCAGCACGGATCAGCTCCAGGCATGACGAAGCAGATATCGTCCTCTTTTGGAAGACCAAACAAAGTATTTCCCTTTTCACAACGAAAAACACAGCGGCCTAGCATGAGCGAAAGCCCCGGCTTAGCGTGAGCTGA